CTCAGCTGGCACCATGTCCATGCTGCCTACCTTCGGCTTCACGCAGGAGCAAGTGGCTTGCGTGTGCGAGGTGCTGCAGCAGGGCGGCAACATCGAGCGGCTGGGCCGCTTCCTGTGGTCGCTGCCCGCCTGCGAGCACCTCCACAAGAATGAAAGCGTGCTCAAAGCCAAGGCGGTGGTGGCTTTCCACCGCGGCAACTTCCGCGAGCTCTACAAGATCCTGGAGAGCCATCAGTTCTCGCCGCACAACCACGCCAAACTGCAGCAGCTGTGGCTCAAAGCGCACTACATCGAGGCGGAGAAGCTGCGCGGCCGGCCCCTGGGCGCGGTGGGCAAGTACCGCGTGCGCCGCAAGTTTCCGCTGCCGCGCTCCATCTGGGACGGCGAGGAGACCAGCTACTGCTTCAAGGAAAAAAGCCGCAGCGTGCTGCGCGAGTGGTATGCGCACAACCCCTACCCCTCACCCCGCGAGAAGCGCGAGCTGGCGGAGGCCACGGGCCTCACCACCACGCAGGTCAGCAACTGGTTCAAGAATCGGCGGCAGCGCGACCGGGCAGCCGAGGCCAAGGAAAGGTACGAGTAAGTAGAGCTTCGGTGCCAGTTCCCCTGGGCTCGAGGGAGGGGTGCCCAGGGTGTCCCCTCACCCCCGGGAGAGGCCTGAGCTCGGCCCCTAGTCCTAGCCAGGACCCTGCTGCTGCCAGATCTGACCCAGACGGTGCTTGCGGGACACTGGGAGATAAGAAATTTGTCTGAAGCGGGCAAAGCAATAGAGAAGTTGTCCACTAACTCCCTGGTCGCTTGTGAGCAAAAGTGGAGAAGCAGCAAGCTTTGGGGAAATGGCAAGACAGTGGGTCTGGACCCCAGGCCAGGGAGACCCAACAGGTAGGACCTGATAGTCCTCCCAGCAAGGTAGGCTTTTGGAGAGAACTATAGGGGTTGTGGGTTTTTGACTGCCTGTGAGAATTCACCAGTACTTCCCAGAACTTCCCGTCTGCCTCACTCAGCTCCAGGCCATAGTGTGATTAGGGGTCAGGACTGGAATTGGAACTTTTTCAATAGGACCCGGATGTGGAGGGGCCTGGGCAAGAATTTTCCTTGTCTGGATATGGGAGTTGACAAGGAAAGTCTTTTATCCCGCATAGAAAGGACCAAGAGGCAAACGGCTTGGGGAGGAAGTGTCAGCTCGGGGAGAGAAGAGAAACACATGTCCTTTTTTCTGCCTTTTTGGACCCATCAGCCCTTCCCTGGCCCACCAAGCCATTAGCCCCTCTCTCCTCAGGCTCTACCTTCTTTGGCAGGTAGGTCTGCAGGTCTGGGGTGAGCCGAGAGAAGCTAAAAGGGCTGAGAGTTGCTTGTCCTTGGGGAACCCAGGACTTCCTGAACTAGCCTTGCAGTTAACTGTTAGGCCCTTGTGGCTGCCAGCTCTGTGGCCCCCTCAGAACCCCAAATCTAGAGGGGAAATGGGAAAGAAACTGATTATGGGAACAGAAATCCAGCCTGAGTGTAACAGCAAAACAAGACACCTGGGGTGTGTGGTATGGGGTGTGTGCAGCCCACAGTGAATTGTCAGGCTCAGAGTGGGGGGTGCTGAGCAGTGGAATCAGGAAAGGGGGTAGGGGGGAGCTTCAAACTGACCTTGGTCTTGAAGACCATGAATTTGGGGTATCCATAGTTGTAAAATCTCATCTGCCAGCCCTGTAGGAAGTTCCTTTCCAGGAAGACAGAAAGAAAAGGCCCTAGGAAGCCAGTAAAGAGAGAATCTACTCAAGAATTCAAATCTCCAAATCTGGGCCAGGGCTGTCACTCAAAGGCAGGGTAGGAGGTGGGTTCTCCCTGCTGAGGTCCCCCTCTGCCCAGTCTGACATGTATCTAGAATCCTAAAGAACTTTGCTCTCAGGCCAGGCCTCAAGTGAGAGCTGAAGAATCCCTCAGTTTCTGGTATGTGAGAAAGTCCAGGCCAGGATTGGCGATTCCCTTGGTTCTTCCTTCTCCCTTCTCCAAGAAGCTGCCCTATAGGCCCCCAGCTTCCAGCCCCCAGTTGCAGTTTCTACTGTGCTGCCAGGGAAAGGAAGTCCTGCATCTTTAGGGCCAGCAGGGAAAACTCCAACAAGGCCTGGAAGTTTGGAACTAAAGGGAAAGGACCCTTAGCTCCAGGAAACTTTCCCCAGACAGGGATTTCCTCAAGCAGAGGAAAGTAAAGGGAAATGAAATCCTGTGAGCTCCTCCACTTCAAGTGGGACCTCGAGCCTAGAATCTAGGGTCCCTGACTCTCCTGGCCCTACTTCTTCGCAGCACACCCTGGTTTGAGGAGCCAAGAGTGACTTGAAAATCAGGTCATCTTCTCTTCCTCCCTGTTCCTCTCCCCCACAACTCCACTGAGCCCTGTGCCCCTGCCCCTTTACTTTGGAAAAGAAGGTTAGCCACTTGGGGTGGGGAGCAGAACCCTCGGAGAGCAGGAAAGATACTCGTGAGATTAAGAGCAGAGCAAGTGGGGAGATAGAAACAACATAGGCAGAAGGATGCGTGAGAGAAATCGGGTCTGGAGAGACAGAGAACCGAAAGCACCAGAGCCCAGGTCTGGCCGAGAAAATGATAGAAACCGAAAACACCCGCAGGCTGCGCGCGGCAGCTCTGGCTCCAGGCGACGTGGCGCCCAGCGGCCTCAGTTTCCCGGCTGACCTGGCTGCTTTGCTCCTGAACTTGCAGGGAGAATAGCGAGAACTCCAACTCCAACAGCCACAATCCGCTGGCTGCATCGCTGAACGGCAGCGGCAAGTCGGTGCTAGGCAGCTCGGAGGACGAGAAGACGCCGTCGGGGACGCCAGACCACTCGTCGTCCAGCCCCGCGCTGCTGCTCAGCCCTCCGCCGCCACCCGGGCTGCCGTCCCTGCACAGCCTGGGCCACCCTCCGGGCCCCAGCGCCGTGCCCGTGCCCGTGCCGGGCGGAGGCGGCGTGGACCCACTGCAGCACCACCACGGCCTGCAGGACTCCATCCTCAACCCCATGTCGGCCAACCTCGTGGACCTGGGCTCCTAGAGCCCCGCCTGCTTCGACGTGCTCGCCTTGTGGGCTTGGCGCTTGGGGACCCGAGAGAGAGGCCGTGTCCGGAGGGCGCCCCGCGCCGGCGGCCCCACCAGGTACTGAAAAAGCCGCGCGCTAAGCGGGCGGAACAGCCGGCCCGGGCAGGGCAGATGGCTCTCTGGTTTGGTCTTTGTTCGGGATTTATTTTCAACAACTTGCTTTGGAGATCCTTTGGAGGCCCGGGCCAGGGTCTTGAACCAGGGAAGGGAATAAATTATACACCATCCTCCTACTCTCTCTCCCAGCCTTCTCTTCTGTCTTCTCTCTCTTCCCTTGCCTTCCTGGCTCTCTCTTCCTCTTCTCTCTTCTCCTTTCCCCCTTTTCACTGTCTGTTTCCCTCTATGCTTCTGGCTTGCCACATCTCGGTAGGCTTCTATTACTCTTAGTTTTTCTGTTTCTCCTCCCCGCCAGCCTCCTGCACCTTTCTGCCTGTACCCCTCCGTCTTCCTCCTCGGTCCTGGCCGTCTATTTGCCCTCCCCCACTCCTCCTCGCTGTCCTGGGGTGGGAGGGGGAGGAGGGAAGAGCAAAGGAAAGACAGGGACTTTGAACCTAGGCGTTCCCCAGAGGCCCTCTCCCGGGGATCTGCGGGGGCGGCAGGTGTCAGCTTTGCGCCTAGTAACATCAGTGAAATAGAAGGAGCGGCAGCGCGCAAGCCCCCGACCGCCCCCTTGGCGTTGACCCCTCTCCCTCCGTGAGGCCCTGCCACCGGCTCTCCTCTTCCTCCCGGGACTGTGGCCACCGTGCTCCCCGTAGAGCGTGCCTCGGAGCCGCGGACTTGCCGTCTCCCTGTTATGCCCTCATGTGAATGTTCTTCGGAAAATATTTCTGCTTTTATTTTATAATAAAATTAGAAATCATGAATATATATACATGGTTATATACCATGAGGCCCGCGAGCCGGGAGTGCAGCTGTGTCTGATTTCCCTACAGGGACTCGACACCCCTGGTGGACTGTTCTGGGCAGCGATGCCCCATGAGTCCCGGAAACCGGGAGACGCCTTCCCACATACGCAACGTGTATCAATCGCAAGGTGAAGGGACTGAATACTCCAAAACTTCCTGCCCCCAAACTCTCTTGTCTCTTTTCTTGTCCCGGAAGCTCCCTTTAGAAGCAGGGAGGGGGCTTGCTTTTCTTGGGGACTCTTCTCCCCCCCGTCAGCAGAGCAGTGCCCTCACCACCTCTTCCTTAACCTGGGGATGGGGGTAGGAAATGAGAGGCTGTGTACAGAACGTGGGTGCATGTATTTGGAAATGCCAAGGCTGGGGAACAAATCGGAAGTTTCCTGAAGGGTGGACTCCTTAGCCATTGTCGCAATCCCCAGAACCAGGCATGATGCACTAGGCAGATTTCTCTGGCCCCAAGGACAGCCACTGATCCCACTGTGAATCCCGGGTCGTGCGTGTGGCCATGGAGCAGAGGCCTCCACGCTCAGAAATCTGTTGGTTTGGAATGAAGGGGCTTGGGAAGGAGGAAAGTCCAGGAGACTTGGGGAGCAGAGCACTCAGGCATGTGTTCTAATCGGGAAGCAAGTGGGAGCAGGGGCTTCTATGGTCCAGCGGGCGTGGGGGGGGGGCACTTCGGTGCGTGGTGCGCTGTAGGTGCCTCTGTGGCTGTAAAATAACCTGCAGCACCACCTCCCCTCTAGGGGATGCAGCCCTCCCTTTAAGCTACACCTCCAGTCTGGTCCAGGTAGATCCGAAGCAGGAGGAATTTGTGGCTTTTCCGTCTCAGGTCGTGGTAGTTGTAGGTACTGTATTCCATCCCAGTGGGAAGGGATAAAGGGGATGAGGCACTCTTCCGACCCCTTGATCCTGGAGCTCAGGGGAGCTCTCCTGCGCTTTACTCCCGGATGGAATCAGCGCTCACCTAAGACCCTTTTGCGCGGACTTTCTCAATATCAAAGATTCCTTGCCAGTGAGGCCCTCCGGGACTCTGGCAGCTGGGCAGGCTAACTTGGTGTGAGAGGCTATGCCTTGGCCTTCCTCTGTACAGGCGTGGAAGTCAAGGGAACCCTTCGCAGGCTAAGACGGCACCAAGCACCCCACGGCCCCTGCACCCCAAGAGGAAATGCAGCCCCAGTAGCTTCTGTGGCCTCGCCTGGAGGCTGTGCTCTCAGGGGACAACGCAGGTCTTCCTGAGACCTGGCCTTTGCTCATAGGGCCCTTCGCTGACTGGAAGGGTGAAAAGCTGGCTACTGTCTGAGGATCCAGAGAGATTCAAGTGACACAGAAGCTGCCCTGAGTCAGCCGAGTTGAGCCCACAGGCCTGTGCTTACTTCGGGAAGGGAGGAAACACAGTAGCCCCTGTGGCCTGCATCACCCCCACCTCCCTCCTGTTGCCACACTCACAGGCATAGACAAATAGGCTCTATACCCGCTTTCATAAGGACACGTACCCATTTATAATTCGATTCACTAGCACTAAAAGCCTGTTATGTGCCGTGCACTGTGAGTAATACAAAAACACTCACCCCCTCACACTTGGTGGGAAATACATCCTATGTCACACATATGTTCACATGCACACAAACAAACATGCATAGGCCCCCAACCCATTTTCACAGACACACAAACACGTGTCCTCGGGTGAAACACTTCCCTGCACCCGTACACGTGAGGTACCTACACAAATGAGCCTCTACCTTGTCTTTGTGCTCACACACACAAACACAACCTCATGATTCTCCCCAGAAGCTTGAAAATCCACATACTCACACTGATGCCCCTGCCAGCAGCCAGTTTCAGCCCATCAACCTTCTGGGGCCAGGGCCCAGCCTTAATGTCCAACCGGCCCAGAAGACCTCAGCGCCGGTGGCTGTAGCCCAGAAAAGGAGATGGTCCTAGCCCGAGGCGGCAGCCAGTCAACGATCCCACCTGTGGAGCTCTCTCCTTAAGCCCAGGTGGGATCCTGGAGTTTGCCCGGAGCTCTGACTCGCCGGTAGGGGGCAGGGTGCCTGCCCCAGAGCTTTCTTCTGGCTTAGTGGAGCTACTTGTTGCAACTTCCCTCTCTCCCTGCCCCTTGGAAAGCTAACCCTGAAAATATTTATTTAAAGGGGGAAACTATGCAGAAGTTTTGAAAATAAACCCTAGCAGCTACTTGCCTACTGTATAAATCTATACCAGCCAGTCCTCCATTCCACACTCCACTAGACGGACCATGCCAAGTAACTTTTGTACAGATGTTGCCAGGTGAATACAGCCATTCCCTGTCAGCATTCATCAAACAGGGTTCACAGCGACTTGTCGCCCCTCCCCTCCGCAGTGGCCCCGCAAGCTAAGAATTTTGCTCTGGTCACCTGAAGGGACACAATGATTGGAAGTACGGAATCTCCCTTTCTGCTCCCTTGACCGAGTTGCCTTACATTTATTCCCAGTCAGGTCCCATATACATCCTCGAAGGTAAAAACCTAATGAAGAAGGTAGAACCCAGACCTGGAAGGCAGCTGGCTGACTCTTCTGCTTCTGGAGGGCATAAAAGCTGAGGGCCACTGAAGGCAGAGGGGAACATGAGGGCTGACTGTGCTTCCCCACCCCAGTCCTGGCACTCAGCAAGCTTCACCAGGACTCGGGTCACTCACTCTCATGTCCTAACCCGTAGAGCATCTTGAGGGAGTGGCGTGTCTACCTGAGAAGCAGGTTGCGATGGCACGCACGCCACACAAGCAAAGGTTAAAGAGAGCCAGGGAGATCTGGGCAGAGAACACTGGTCTACTCAGTCCTCAGTTTTCTCCAGTCCCTGTAGGAAACATCACCTCGGCCCCTTATAAATGCAGGGACAAGCCGAGCAGGGGCGCGGGAGTCAGGAAGCAGAGAATTCGACTCCAAAACTCCACCAGCGGCCCAGTTCTTTCGGGGATGTTGCCAGCTCTGGGAAAGGGAAATATGTAAGTGTTTTTGATTGAGAGACAGATGGAGAAGGACAGAGGACGGTTTGGGCTCCAGCCTGGGCCTCTTTCTTTTTTCGGGTTCCCAGCCCCAACACTACGTCTTGGGTATCCTTGTCTCTCAAGCTGCCCAGGGATATTGGGGAGGAAAGCGACTCAGTGCGTGAGGATGTACTGGGAGCCTTGAGAAGGCAGGAGACAACGTGTGCGCTCGATAGGGTGGGAAAACGCGCTGGTGTGCGTAGATGGGGCGGGCGTGCGCCTTGAAAGCGTGGCTCTCTTTGAGTACACAGGTGTGCAGGTGAACCGTTGAGAGGCCCAGGGCACTCGGGGAGCCCGGAATGCGGCTTGTAAGCAGAGGCGCCTGGGGCTAGAGGACGACCAGCTTCTCCTCTCGCGCCGCAGGAACCCAACCAGGCGCGAATTAGTCTAGATTCCTGGAGCCACTGCTGGCCACCCGCAGGGTGAGCGGGGAGGAAAGGAAAATCTCTGGATCGCTGCTGCTGGGAGCCGCGCAGTGGAGCCTGGAAAGATCTCGAGCCCCGTGTCAGGATCAAGGCCTTGCGCGCCGCCTCGCTGGAGTCTCATCTCTAAACTCCGTGGGTCCCTGGTGTGGCTGCAGCTTGGAAATAATTTCTCCTGGGTTGCGGGGTGGAATCGGAGGGCTGAGGGTCAGAATGTGTGCCTTCCAAGGGGGTGAGCTTCCCACTGTTTTTCTGCAATCTCAACAGCAGGGCTAAATAATATCGTATGGATGCGCCCCAAGAAAGCCCCCCTAGTGAGGCCCGACAGGCTCCCCAGTTGCCCCAAACTCTCCCTTTATTGGAAGATCCACAAACCTGACAGGCTGGCACAGGGCAGACACGTAGGAGTACGCCTTCTTTAGTATGCTAGCAGCCCTGGCCGTTGTTAGGGCTAAATCGAGAACTCTCAGTGGCCGGTTCCACCCGGAGTATCGGACGCGTCCTCACTCAGAGTAGCGTGTACCCGCTCCGACCCTGGCAGGTTGCAGGGAGAAATTCTGCGGCTCTGCCTGCTCCCGGCGGCCAAGGCCCCCGCAAACCAAACCGCACGCTTGGTGTCAAGCCCGGCGCGACCGGTTTTCTGGGGCGAGTAGCCCGTGCGCTGCTGGGGATAACGCGAAGCTCCAGGTCCTGCGGGTAAGGGAGCCCGAGACCGCGGGAGCCCGCAGCCCTTTGAGCTAGCG